TGTCGAGTAATGATGTCCAACAGTCAATGATTATCGCATGAATAAACGTGTTGCTTTTAAAATGATATGCGAATCCTTGATGCAACACATGACCGCTCCCAATGTTCCATATCTCTTCCCTGCTCAACAATTATAATATAATCAATTTTATAGCACCACATTTTAAAAGCAAACCAATAATTTATATTATTTAAATTACCCATAATCTCTTTTTGATGCAAAAACTAAACTGTATAACTCCATTTCATCCTTCTTCACCTTGTCACCCATTCTAACAATCCTTTCAACAAACGGTGATTTTCCATATACAGGTAACATTTGCTCTCTTTTCCCCCTTTTTCCATTGTCATCATCTTCCTCACATACTTCAGTTGTTTCCAAGATTTCTTTTCCTTTTTTTTTCTTTTTTATAACTATCCAACACATCATCATCTGTCATTTTAATTGTTGTCGCCAACACTTCAGGATGCTCCAAGAATTGTGAACAGGTTAGATGGTCTGTATTATCTACCTTTTCCACATGAGGTGTACTGAAACCTCCACCATCATCCTTCTTATCCCCATGAACTACTAGTCCTCTAACTAGAGAGAATCCATCTTCATTACCACCATCTGCCTCTCCTTTGTTACTATCACCATCAAAACCAGGTTCATTATATTTCATTCCTCCAGTCTCTTCATTCTTCACTTCGTTGAACAATTCTTTATTTTTTTCGTACTACTCCTTCAACATCAAGCTGTCTGGGAATTTCGCAATTCCATTTTTCAGAGCTTTTTCAATATTATTCTTTTTGGACAATATTATTCCATAGCTATGCTCGATAACAGCCACGTATGCCTATGCCTGTAAGTGTTATATTAACATATCATTAATAAAATTTTGCAAGAATTAATGCTCTACATACATATTAATTCACTAACTTTAAGACACAGAATACAATTTAAAACTAATTTACATGAAATTCTAATAGAATTTATGTCTTACCTCATCATCCCCATACTCTCTCATCAGCCCGTCCAACATTTCATCTTCATCAACCATTTCATCATCATCATCAATATCTTCAAAGTTTTCCTATAGCTGTCTACCAAACCCCCCAACACTAATCTCCAAATTCTCTATTTTTTCAAGGAGAGCACCCGTAACATTTCTGACAAACGGTAACCTTTTCACTATCTTCAAACCTGAGAACTTCATGTTATATACATACACAAGCTACATAAAAAAATTACATTAATTAGTTCAATATACATATTCCATTGTAAAATAAAGTAAATATCTAATCGAGGCAACAATATTACCTTCAAAACGAGTATAGGTTCACTGTAATATCATGTCTTATCATCCCTTCTCCACAGTTGTTTTCTGCTGACCAAACAATCTAGAATATACTTGCACCAGTCAACTTTAGAGAAGTCTTTTACCAAGACCAACTTATTCACAACATTTATTTGATTGGTACCACTCAAAGTTGATTCCACAATTGTGTTAATGAAAAGGGTCAGGAAATTCAGCCTAAACATAAGATTGTCTTGCTTTGTGTTTTTGATCATTTTCAGGTATTCTTCACTATTAAACCCTTTTTTATCATATTGACCTTTCCATTCTTGCAGAACTTTATTATCTTTCTCACAACTAATCATGCTCAAGAAGTCTTCCCCTACATTTGGTAAACCCAACATGTCATGCATTGTGTCTTTCGTAATTGTTATCACCATATTCTCCAGAACTAGACGGCTACTATCTGGATCATAGTGATCTAACAGATAGTAGTTAAGTAACCCTGGAGTAGTGTCCATGTCAATATTCAGAAGTGAACCAAAACCCATAGACACAATCCCATTTTTCTGTGCAGGGGACATTACTTTCACAGCTGCACTAATCCTTCCAGGAGTCATCCTAGTTGCAACTCTTCTATAACCTTCTGGATGGTCCTTGCTTACTTTTCTAACCTTCCCCTCCATGGTTTTGATTTTAACATTCTCATGTTCTATTTTTCCCTTCTTTCTCTTAGGAGATTTCTTTGAATGTGCATCATTCACTACCTTTTTTCTTTTTACAACATTTTCCTTATCTTCCATATCCACACCAATTTTTGCCTTTTCATTGTCTTTCTTTGACCCACTCATACTCTCCATAAGTAACTCATTTAAACTTCTTGGTTTTTTCCTTTCGCCACTTGCTTCTGACGATTTCTTATTATCCTTAACAGGTGTACTTCTCGCAGAACCTTTCCTTTTCATCCTTCCTACACTTGTGCTATCACTAGGTATTGTCTCTTCTTTATCTTTGTTAACAGCTGTTGAATCACACAAACATAATTACTCATTGTCTACTAGAACTTGAATAGAATACTTAATTTTATACTAGCCATATCATAATTATATTGTATACAATAACAAATTGTACTAGAATTTGAATACAATACTTAATTTTATACTAGCCATATCATAATTATATACTAAAAATCATTAATTAGAAGCACTTATGATCTTACCTGATTTTCCAGATTCTACATTTTTCTTTCCATGTTCTGATCTTGAAGTTTTTTTCCTCTGTTTCTTTGTTTTGCTTGATCCAACAATATTTATATCAATTGGTTCACTTCAGACACCTTCTGCTTCATTAAGTAACAAAAGATACATATTGGCTATCAACATGTTTTAAAATTATTGTTATTTTTTTTCATGAACCAAAAAAAATAAAACTACCTGTAGGTTGAGAAATGATATTCTCTTTCACGGGTGTTGATCTTGTACGATAGTTCCTTCTCACATTTGTTTGGATTGTAGTATTAACATTAATTGGCTCTGGATCAGGTTCTGCAACAACTAATGAAACAAATGATTATAGTCCATTAATAATATTTTTCAAAGTAACCAGCCATACTTCAATATCTATAACCACTATCAATACCATTTATGTTTTCATTCTGTAAGAATGCAACACACACACACACACACATATATATATATATATATATATATATATATATATATATATATATATATATATATATAATGTTTCTGTGAGAATTAAAAGCAAATAGTAAATACAAATAAAGTAAATCCGCCAAAATCACAGTAATAAAAAAATATACAGTTACTTACTAGCAATTCCCATATTAACCAGTCACACTCCAATCTATATAACCCCTATCTATACTTCTTATGTTCCCATTCTTTAAGAATGTAAACATATTTTCTTACTCTGATTCTATGAGAATTAAATTCATATAGTATATGCAAATAAAATAAACCGTCAAAATCACAGGAATAAAACTACAAATAAAAAATAACTCATAATACAAAAAAAACAAAAAAATAGAAGACAAGACAACAATATCATCACAAATTCTATCAGAACATCAAGCACTTGAAAGATTTATGCAAGGTTTTAAAAACATAACTCAAAATACTAAAAAAATTACAAAAACAAACAACACTATCACCCCCTAAACTAACACAACAACAACCACATACAAGAATTTAAATATTTCGTATTCTGGAAGAATGCATTGCACATGAACATCACAAAAAAACATAGAATTCTAACAGAATATCATCCTGCCTTACGTCTAACATAAACGACAAAATAATGCAAAAAAAAAAAAACAAAAACAACATCTTTTTACTCTTCCAAAACACAAAACAAAATAAACAATCACAAACCCTTTTTTTTGCAAAACAACACTCACATATCTGTAAAATCCAAAATTTTAAGCGGATTTTAAATCCCCAAATTTAGAAAACCCTAATAAAAAAATACCCCATTTTTACACTATTTCGGTCTATTTTACTTAAACCAACTAAAAAACCACATGCAAATACTTCATTGTTCAAACATTCCAAAAGAATGTTATGTATTCAAACGATTAACTAAAAAAAAAAATTAAAAAAAAAATACCTATAGGCGGAGCAACGAAATCATCATCGTCTTCATCTAGATTCAACACCGTTTGTTGTGTGTTCTTAAATCTCGATTTGAAAGAAGTCACCCTTGTACTCCTCATTATACTGCAATTTCTTTTACTTCGAACGATCACAATGCAACTTCTGTGAACAATCTTCAAGAATCGATCACTATATACAAAAATTACAACAAAATCTACCGCTTTTTTGATTGATTAGAGAAGATATACTTTGATTTTGTGTTCCGATACAGAGGGTAGTGGAATCCGGGTTCATGCGATGTTATAGGGATTATGCGGGAAGTTTTGATAAATAGAGTCAGTTACCTATTTTAATGGAGACGACAAATGTACACAAATACCCTTATTCGTCCGTTTCTTTAAATGTGAGGCCTTTTTCAGTTTTTTAATATCAAATTAATGTTAATCATTTTCTATTAAAAATTAAATATTTGATTGGCCCACATTTATGTATACAATAACATAATAATTACTTTGATTAAAATAACCTAAGCCTCTATGTATATATATATATATATATATATATATATATATATATATATATATATATATATATATAATGTTAGGTCTACAACTAATAATACTATATCCTTTTGATTTAAAATTACATAGTTTTTATCGTATATTTTGCTATAATACATTTATTTATCTATGGTTCTTTGTTTGGATGTTAATGGCCGTTTATCTTTATTTATCTTTGTTTTTTCAGTTACTTTTTTTATATGTTCGTTCATTTATGTTTACTTATATTTGTTTACATTCATTCATTTATGTTCGATATATTCATTCTTTTATGTTCATTTAGCACCTTAATGAAGGAACATAAACAAAGTAATTTCTTAAACAAAAGAACATGAACAAGGAAATTCGTTCGTTGACGATATTGTATAATGAAAGTGTAATGAAAGTGTTGTGATTTTATTACCTGTCTTTGTTGACGATATTGTATTAACTTCTAATGATTTGGAAAACGTTCAAAATGTTGAAGTTTTGAAAACCACACGTGGAGTGGGAACTTGATTTATTTTGTTTTCAGGGTAAAAATTGTACAGAAGCTATAGTAGCAGAGTTTATCTTAATTTTTAAATTTTTTTTGAGGGACTGGATAATTTCAGAATTTTGGGAACTATCTAGGGTTCTTGGAGGTTGGCGTTCTCCCGTACCAGACATGGAAGTGCACGAAGAGATATCGGAGGCCACGCTTGAACTCGCAAAGAAAAGAACTGCAGATCTGCGTGCCCAGGTCTGTCACACACTCATTTTCTTCTTCATTACATTTCATATATATAGTTTGTTTTGGTTGTATCGCTGGTGATTTTGAGTGGTGGAATTTAGGGCATTTTGTATCGATGCTGAATGTTTGTTTTTGTGGTCATGTGATGGTTACTAGTTCAGAGATTTAATCTTTTACAATGAAATCTATTAGATTTGGGGGAACATGGGGAGAATAGTAACGAAACTTGTTTAAACATTTAAACTTTTTCATAGTAACGTATGCACAGGTTGCGCAAGCAGAGATAGAGTTGCAGGAAGCGAAAACTCAGTTGGATCGCATTCGAAGTGGCAAGCCAAGGTTTTCTGTGGAAGGTAATGAAGCCCCATCTAAGGTCCACATGGAACCACCTTCGAAGATCTGTCGTCAACTCAAAACATTGTCAATTTGACACCCCTCCATAATCTAGTAGACAGTGTTTGATCCTTTTGGTTCTGGTTGCATGTTATCTGTTGTTGCCTATGGAGCGTAGACTTTGTTTCTAATCAGATATTTAAGACATTAAAGGCTTTTAGTTGTGTGTCTTGTTGATTAAAAATTGCTATATTGCATTTTGTGCCTTTTAAGGTGGATTCTTTTTGACGGATTTGACTACTATTTTGTCTGAACTGATAATGAATGTTTTTTTTTTCCAGTATTATTGTTACCCCTTGGGAATTTATTTCTGGGAATTTCATGTTGTTGACTCTGCTCATCCAATGGATCTTCTTTTTTAACTAATGTCAGGTTGATATTATCTCATCCTATTTCACATGTGATTGGGAACTTATACACTAATGACAAGACTAGAACACATGTTACATTTTATATCAGGTTATATGTTAAATTTTAGGGGCGAGCATGATGCGGTTTTAAAGCCAAACCAAACCACAAACCGCATTTTTGGGTTTTTGCATTCTTAAAAACCGTTAGGTGTGGTTTTGCAATGGTTCGGTTTTACGGTTTTTAAATGCGGTTTCGGTTTTAAAACCGTGTTTAGACTTTGGTGCAGTTTTTTATGTTTATCGGTTTTTTAGAACTGTAAGAACCGAAACCATGTGCATGTAAGTTTGTATTGTTTTTTTTTTTTTAAACCATTCATTTTCAGTTCAAAACAAAAAATACATAATCAAAAATTGTAAGCCACTTAAAATACGTGTAATCCATTAGTACGTTTGGCTAAAAATAGAAGATATATTTTGCACCCCATATAGTCTTATACAAACACAAAATAAACAATAATAAATATATTTTCGTTTATAAGTATTTTAAATAGGATGCATATAATATACATTGATTGATTTATTACTATACACGCTTGCGGTGCCGTTCGGTTTTGGTGGACCGATTTTTTGGATAGAAACCGCACCGCACCATTGACCTTCGGTTTTTGCAAAAATTAAATCCACACCATTGGTTTTTGCATCGGTTTCGATTTTTCGGTTGCGGTTTATTGCGGTTTTGTCGGTTTTTCTTTAGTCGGTTCGGTTTTTGCTCACCCCTGTTAAATTTCGTCATTTTGCTTATAGAACCAAAAGCGTAAAGACCATAAAAGTAGAGTAGAATATGACTTCACAAAGGCTACCAAACCAATAGCGGTATGCAAAATCTGATAAGAACACACAATCAAAGTTAAACCAGTTTAAACAAACTTAGCCTAATGCTTGCATTCGACCAAAGTAATCCTGATGTTCGAGATTCCGGAAGATCTCCCAAGTCGATAGCCAAAAGACACCCCTGGGCCGGCCCCTCCTACATAACCTATCCTAGGAGAAAAGAATAAAACCCACCAAAAAATCCAAAACATTATCCAGCTAAAAAATACTCAAAATTAAATAATAAAACTGTTTAAGAGAAATTAGCTAATCGCCCCCTTGTAACTTCTTTCCTCGCCTCTGGTAAACCTTTGACATCCTGCCGGGACGATTCATATCAATACTCCCGCCCTGAAAATTCACCTTGTCCTCAAGGTGATGCTCTTGAAACTGACGACAAATGAACTCTCGCTCCTCCCAAGTGGCTTCTTCCTCTGGTAACCCCTTCCACTGGATAAGCATTCCGTGACACCCAACTTCTTTCGAATCTGCTCCGGAATCATCACTCCCGGAATCCCCTTAGCCAGCTCTGACGAATTTCGAAGGATCACACCCGTACAACACCCTAAACGGGGTCGTTCGTATCAACGAGTGAAGAGGTATCGTACCAGTATTCAGCACACGACAACCATTTCACCCACTTTTTGGGTTATGAGGAAGAGAAACATCTCAAGTAAGTCTGAAGACTTCTATTGACCACCTCAGTCTAGCCATCCATCTGCAGGTGGAGTGTGGTACCCAGAACTTAAAAATTTCCTTCCAAAACAAACTCATAAAAATCTTATCTCTGTTGGAGATAACGGAACGAGGAATCCCATGTAAGCGCACAATCTCCCAAATAAAAGTATTAGCTATCGATGACGTCGTTAAGGGATGTTTGAGAGGAAAAAAGTGGGTGGATTTACTCAAGCGATCCACGACCACAAAAACCATGCTGTATCCTGCCGATTTTGGTAAGCCTTCTACAAAATCCATCGATAAATCCTCCTAAATATGATCTGGCAAAGCTAACGGTTGCAACAAGCTAGGTGGAGCTAGATTCGAATACTTGTTTCATTGGCAGACGACACATTTTGACATAATTTTAGTCACATATCGTCTCATTCCCCACCCAAAAGAATCCTTTGGCGAGATGTTGATAAGTCTTTTGCATGCCCTCATGCCCCCATCGTCCCTCTATGAATCTGTTGATATAAGCGTAACACCCACATAGACTTGCACGGAATTACCAAACGCCCTTTATAGCGCACGTGGTCCTGCGAAATAGCATAGCCCGACATGTCGTCATCAGAATTTTCTAATTTTTTTCGAATATCATCCAATTCTGGCTCGTTACACAAGTCCGCCAAAAGCTCCACCCAGTCACCCGGTGACACTGTAAGTTCCGCCAAGGATACGCCTTTTCCTCGCCTGGAAAGCGCATCGGCTTCCCCATTTTCCTTGCCCGGTCGGTATAGAATTTGCAAATTGAACCGGGACAATTTTGAAATTCACGTCTGATGCTCGCCAACCACCACTCGTTGTTCCAACAAATACTTAAGACTTTTTTGCTCGGTAATCACTGTGAATCGTTGACCTAGCAGGTATGGCCGCCACTTTGCACTGCTAACACGATAACCATTAGTTCTCGCTCGTACACCAATTTAAGTGTGGCTCGGTTGCATAGAACTTGGCTAAAATAAGCCACAGGTTTGTTCTCTTGCATAAGCACCGCACCAACACCAAATCCGGATGCATCATTCTCGATTGTGAAAGCCTTCGTGAAATCCGGTAAAGCTAATGCCGACACTTTCGTCCTCGCTAGTTGGAGTTGTCGGAAAAAATGTGTCGCGTCGTCGCTCCATAGGAATTTGTCCTTCCTAAGTAAATCGGTCAACAGTCTTGCTATCTTACAATAACCCTGCACAAATTTTCGATAATAACCCGTTAGTCCCAAGAAACCTCTCAGTTCTCGTAACGTCTTCGGCACCGGCCACTCCAGTATTATCTAGATCTTGCTTGGATTTGCCGTCACTCCCCCACTAGTCCTAAATAACCAACCCGATCTTGACTAAAAACGCATTTCTTTTTTATTACAGAATAAGCTATCGGTTCTAAGGGTTTCAAAGACCACCCTCATGTGTCGTTGATGATCTTCCGAGATGTGATTTTACACGATAATATCATTAAAAAAAAAACAAGCACAAATTTACGTATGAATAAGGGAAAAAACATTATCCATGAAGAATTGAAATGTCGATGGTGCATTCGTTAACCCAAACAACATGCATGACAAGAAACTCGTAATGCCCTTTGTGGGTACGAAAATCTGTCTTTGGTATGTCATCTTGTCTCATACGGATTTGGTGATAACCCAATTTGAGATCCACCTTGCTAAAGATCGTCGTTCCGTGTAGCTCGTCGAGTAAATCATCAACAACGGGAATAGGGAATTTTTCGAGTACTATGGATTTGTTCGACGCTCGATAATCCACACAAAAGCGCGAAGTCCCATATTTCATTTTTACTAGTAGAACCGGACTAGAGAACAGGACTAAACTCAGTTGAATTACACCAAAGGTAAGAATTTCTTCCACTAACTGCTCGATTTTGTTTTTCTGCCACCGTGCGTAATGGTATGGTCGAACATTGACCTATTCGGTGCCTGTCTTCAAAGTAATAGTGTGCTCGTAGAACCCAGAACCTCCAACACTCTTGTTGAAGCAAAGAAGGATAACATGTCGTTGGCTGCCATTTATCAGGGAATACCTGAAGATTTGCTCATGAAATTGGCGGAGAAGAAGACGGCCAAAGAGGCTTGGGAAGCTCTCAAAACCATGTTTGTAGGGGCAGATAGAGTGAAGGTTGCCAGGATTCAGACACTCAAGGCTGAACTCGAAGTTATGAGCATGAAAGAACAGAGAGTGTTGATGACTTCACCGGAAAAGTAATCAACACAGTCAGCACCTTACGCACCCTTGGAGACAAGATAGAAGAGTCTCACGTAGTGAAGAAGTTACTTAGGGCTGTGTCATCCAAATTCCTTCAGATTGCCTCCACACTTGAGCAATTTGGAGATTTGGAAACAATGTCCATTGAAGAGGTGATCGGAAGACTCAAGGCCTATGAAGAACGTATGAAAAGTTCAGGTGAAAGTGACGATCGAAAGCTCCTGTTAACTCACAAAGAATGATCAGACAGAAACAAGAAAAAATCAGATGGAAGCAAATCAAATCGGGGTGGTTCTACAGGCTCTCGAGGACGGGGCAGAGGTAGAGGAAGAAACGGAGGTGGACGTGGTGGTCGTGGTAACAGAGATGGAACACATCACTAGAAGGAGAGCAATCCTAGTGCATCGAATAGCCATGATAAAAGTGACATTCAGTGCTATAATTGCCAAGAGTATGGGCATTATGCATCCGAATGTAAAAACCCTCGAAAGGAACGAAGTCACGAAAATAACCGATACAAGAGCATCACGATGATGAGCCTGCCCTGTTGCTGTCGACATGTGAAGATGGAAGATTAGTGTTTCTGAATGAAGAAAACGTCACCCCTCAATTAAGAACCCACGGTAATACCCAAAAGTCATCTTGCACGTGGTACCTGGACACAGGAGCCAGTAATCATATGACTGGGGATAAAACCAAGTTTAGAAGCTTAAATGAATCAGTCCATGGATTTGTGAAATTCTGTAATGAATCAAAGGTGAGAATTTAAGGCAAAGGCTCCATAGTCTTCAAATGCAAGGATGGTGAGTGTCGAAAACTAAATGAGGTTTATTACATGCCCGATCTATGTAGCAACATCATTAGTCTGGGCCAATTAGCAGAAGGTGGAGATGAGATTAAGATCAAGGATCCATTCTTATGGGTTCATGATTCAATTGGAAAGCTACTCATGAAGGTGAGAAGATCAACAAATAGACTCTACAGAATAGAGTTGGAAGAAGCTACTGCAATGTGTTTTGCTTTAGAATCCGATGATCCAACTTGGCTATGGCACAAGCGAATGGGGCATATAAACTTCAATTTAATGAAGCAGATGATTGA